GAGATCATGGGTTCGAAAGCCTGAGTCCTGGGATTCTGGGTCTGCGTAGACTCCGTGTCGTCGCTGGTGTTGCTCTCGATGAGGGGCCATTGTTGCAGTCGTAATGGGTTGGGACTTTTTAGGCGGCTGCTGGCTGACCCCCTTGGACTCGACGACACGAGGATAGACAGCATCTTCATGCAAAGGACTTACTCGGGGAGCCGGATGTTTGGGTCGAGGGGAGTCATCGACGGTGGTCAGGTGGGCAGGAGGCCTGCCGCGTACGCCACGGCTCTTGTGGGTGGACGTTTTCGTCTTTCCTCAGGAAGGGAGGCGACAAACCACCGTAACTACGGCCCTTGATCCCGTGAGGTTGTTCGCCACCGAAGCAAAGTGGCGGCTGCCCGGCGTCGGGCGGTGCACCGGTGCCGGGGCAAGGGGGACCCCCCTTCTGACGTCTCAATTCACAGAGCGGCAGACGTACAGAAGGGAGGGGAAGGAAAGGGGTGGGTAGGGGTGAAGCTTCGGCGCGGTGCGGTAGTTGGCTCAAGCCCCGAAGACCCTGATCGCGGAGGGGGGACCCGGCCGGACGCAGTCGTGGTTCGCTCGGTGCGACATAGCTGGTGAGATGGCTTGCACAGCCTCAGGACCCTGAACAAGGACAGTGCTGCTGTAGGAAGGGATCGACCAAGATGCTCGTGGACCCTGAGGCAATACGAGCTTTGACGGCTGGCAAGGTGACATTTTACCCACCACGAGCTATCGAATATTGGAAAAAAAGCTTATGCGGATTTCTGCTCTATCCCCCTTGGTATTTTTGTTTTCGTGGGGGGGGCTATTCTGACGTCGACTGGCGTTTGTCTAGATGGAAAAGTTGGCTCAGGGGGTCACCCGCTGGGCGGAATGATTACATATCCATGCGAGGGTAAAGGATGATGCTGGCTCCCATGTTTCTATTTCGAGATGAAGTATCGATGAAGGTACCTCTGGATGGGAGTGTACTTTGCGAAAAGGTATCAAAAGTCGTGATACTTTGGTGGTGTTACTTGTGCGATTCGAGGTATGGATCAACACCATGACAGCTTGGGTGCTTGCCTGCCAGGGGGTTCGCCTCGTCGGCTTCGGCCAGGTTTATCCCAACTAACAGAATAACAGCAGTACACAACGGCATTTGTGACGTTCACATTGGTGACGCTGATGGTGGAAGCATGGCGATGTATTAGTCATGACGGTCACAAGCCCGATCGCCAGGCCGCCATGCCTTGTCATATGGCCATGTTCAGCATGTCGGTCAGTCAGTGCCTGGCTGGAGCACACTCCTGAGGCAGAGAGGTACAGAGGCACAGAGGTACAGAGGCACAGAGGTACAGAGGCACGTTGTGCCACGAAAGGTCAGCGATGGTGGCTTGCAGGAAACGCGCTGGGTCCAGAACGAGCGAACGCAGTGCAGCTAACAGGTTTCTGACGGAGGGGGGACGCAAGAGTTAGCGCCTGCGGCAAGGCTCAGGTCGGACATGTCGACGCAGGTGTATGGCACATGTGGGCGGGATGATTGGTTCGTGGGAGAGCTGAGTGAAGCACCGAGTTCTCAGTTGAGGGGTCCCAGGTGCCGAGGTGAGTGACGCGGGGTGTGTGTGTTTGTATATCAGGTAATGAGGGGATCAAGCTAAGAAGGGTCGATATCCCTCTCATAGATATTCCTTTGGGTCTGAAGCATCGTATGAAGAGCGACGTGCCAAAGTAAAGGCTTCGCACTATCTGTTCATGCATCCATCATCGCGCCCAGCAAAAGGGAGAAGTCGGTGACGAAATACACGGCTTATCCAAAAGAGTTGGGGACCTTATCGGCAGCGTGGTCCCCCACCGCTCAAAAACAAAAAAGTGGCACCCTCACGTCACCATTCAGCAGTTTCCGAGAGCCTGGCCCACGCAGCCCCCTCCCAAAGCCCAAGGCCCAAGGCCCCAGGCTTCAGAACCCCAGGCTTCAGAACCCCAGGCCCCAGGCTTGTTGTTCATGCGCACAGCACAGCGCACAGCGCACAGCGCCCTGAAGAACCAGCAGTGGGAGCCGCCGCAGCATCATCATCATCTGGCCCACAGCCCACAGCCCACGGCCCGCAGCCCGCCGCAGCCTCGAGGTTCGTCTCCCCACCGCCCTATCCCAAACTTTGCCCTCGAACACGGACACTTGAACATCAAACATCGACCTCGGACGCACCTAGCCGCGCGGCAGAAACAGAAACTGAATCCTGTCCGAAACTCTCGCGAAATATCTTTGCCCTTCCCTTGTTGCAACACCATCCGCTTCGCGTGAGCCAGCTGCCCAACGCACTCTCTACAGCCTCTACCCTTGCCACCTACTCTCGCCAGCCCAAGTACCTTATCGACAGTACATCACAGTTCCCAGCGAGCAAGCTCAGCCCCGCCTCCGACATCGTCATGGCTTCAGCAGCGCCGCCAATCGCCGTCGTGGATGCCCCCGAGGAGCCTCCAAGCGACACCTCGAAGCTGAAGACGTTCATCGGCATTCTTAGGAAGTAAGTCGCCCTTTCTTTTTCCCGTCCTGGCGCCGAGACTAGCTGCTGCGAGACGTGCGGATGAGGGGTACAATCCCTGGCCCTCTTTTCTACAGGGCTCTCTCTCTGTGCCCATCTTCACGACACGGCAAGAGCGCATCGCGATAGCCCAACATCGCAACACGGCACTGACCTCTTCGGCTTGCAGGTTCATGGGCGTCGCAGACCTTGCTGCCGTTCGCTTTTCGCTGCCCTCTCAGCTTCTCGAGCCGACCCCGAACCTCGAGTACTGGACCTACCTCGATGCACCCAACGCCTTTGTCGCCATCGGCACCGCCGACGAGCCCCTCGACCGCATGCTCGAGGTGTGCCGCTTCTGGTTCACCAAAGACCTCAAATACGTCAAGGGCAGGCCCTGCAAGCCCTACAACTCGTGCCTCGGCGAGTTCTTCCGCGTACGTTGATCATGCTGAAAAAATCGTGCCAGCCCGAGCCACGTCTCGTCGCCAGCGTTACTGACTTGACTGCCCCGCAGTGCAACTGGGAAACCGAGGACAATGCGCCCAAGATCAATACAACCGCCCTCAAGGGTCCCACGAGCGGCAATGCCAGCAGCGCCTCGAGCATCCGCTCCGTCAAGGCTGACAAGAATGCCTCTACAAATTCCCTCTCGCTGACCGTCCCAAAACACAGTCTGGCCACCCCCGACGGCCGCCCCGTCCGCATCTCGTACCTGACCGAGCAGACGTCCCACCACCCACCCGTCAGTGCATACGCCGTCATCTGCCCAGACCGCGGTCTCTCCGCGCGCGGCTTTGATCAGATCTCCGCCAAGTTCACCGGCACCAGCGTCCGCGTCCTGCCCGGCGAGCACAATCTCGGCATCTTCATCGACATTGAGAAGCGCGGCAACGAGACGTACCAGCTCACCCACCCGGCCGCCTCGCTCGGCGGCATCCTGCGAGGCACGCTGAGCGTCAGCGTCAGCGAGATGGCCTACATCACCTGCCCCAAGACGAAGCTCAAGACCATCCTGCACTACATCGAGGCGGGCTGGCTCGGCAGGTCGACGAACCGCGTCGAGGGCATCATCTTCCGCTACGACCCGGAGAATGACAACAAGACGACAATCAAGGATGTGCCAGAAGCGGACATTGTGGCACGTCTCGGCGGGCCGTGGAGGGAAAAGATTGAGTTCACCCTCGGACCCAAGCCTATCGTATGTGCCCTTTTCCTGTTATACCCTTTTCTTCCTATCGGAGCAGACGTCTAACCCAACGTGTGACTGCAGGACTCACACCCGCCCGAGGCGCGCTTCACCATCATCGACCTCCTCCCACTCAACGTGGCCCCCAAAGTCGTGCCCCCCGCCGACAAGCAGCAAGAGTACGAGTCGCTCTCGCTCTGGGGCGGCGTCACCGAGGCCATCCACGCCAAGCAATTTGGCAAAGCGACGCAGGTCAAGCAGGAGCTCGAGGAGAGGCAGCGCGAGAAGGCGCGCGAGCGCGAGGCTGCCGGCACGACCTGGCAGCCCGTCTTTTTCCAGCAGGTCACGGGCAACGGGGGCCAGCCGGTGCTCACGGACAAGGGCAGGGAGGTGCTGAAGCGGGCGCAGCAGGCCGAATGGAACATTGACGATGTCGTCGGCACCGCTCCGGCTGCCGCCTGAAGGGAGAATGAATCTGTTCCAGCGTGTTTGGGTTTGATGCATGAGGGGTTAGCGGGGACGAGTGAGTGCGGACGAGAGGATTATGAGCTCACGGCCTTTCGTTTTCTGCTCTTCTCTCTCTCTTTTTTTTTCCTTGCTTGTTAGGGGATGTTCATTTGGACGATCAAGTTGCGCGAGGTGCCAGACTCTTTCGGGTGCGGGTGTCACATTTTGTTGATTCTTCGGGGCTTGGGATAGAAGGGGAACGTTGCGGTGGGGGACGATGGTGTAGTTGGTTGCATTGCTGAGGTTCTGATTATTGTCTCTCGTTTGGAGTAGATGGCGATTTGGGTGAAGCCCCCCCTGCACACGGGGTACTACTACAGTGGCATTGCGTCTTCATGATCCTGCTTTGCTTCTTCTTCGCTGGGTACGTGAGGCTGCGTGTGGAATGGGATTATGGTTGAGAAGACGCGCCCAGGCTTTTGGTGTACATCTTACTCCTGGATAGCCATGCCCTGTCTTGCGGGCCCAATGATACATATGGACTGCCAATCGACGGTCCCAATATGAGGCAGTTTAGAACTCATGTGCAAGCTGTTTAAGTCGTAAACGGTATGAAGCATGACGGGTCGAGGCTTAAGACGGACTACACGTCGTTTTGAATCGGTGGGGCGATTTCACGGTGGTTGATGTTTATTCACAGGATCCCTATCACTTTTGTTACCATCCACCGAGGTCATTGGTGTTCCATACTGAGAAGGTAGGACTTGGAACTCGCTCTTGCGAATCTTTATGACGCTTCGAGCGGGAACCGCTGCTATGTCCGGCCAGACCAACCTGAGTAACCGAGTTGGAACGCATGACGAGTGACGATCAATGAACTCTAGCCAGCCGACCGATCCATGTATCGCGCGCATCGGATTCTGCTGGACTTTTATTTAGTATGATATCATGGAAGGCAGTCTTGCGTCGTAGCTTCAGATGACATTGAGGACACTAGGCTCCACACTGCATGGCGATTACAGAGAATTGTCTGGTATTCTCGCTACGGACAAGCCGTCGGTGGACAGTTGGTCCAGGTCTATGGTACAACAATGAGTGGAAAAGGCTTGTTAAGACATCCGTGAGAATCCTCAAAGATGAGTTCCATCAATCATACACTTGCGTCCCTCCCCCCCGCATTATCCGCCATCGTACATCTTCTTCCTCTTTTCTTGTTCGCCTTGGTTTCGCCGGCATTACCAGATCAAGCGCTGATGAAGCCCTTGACGTTGCTGAGCCAGCGCACGTACTCCTTCTGCTCCTTGACGTCGACGTAGTCGGGCGCAAAAACGGCCAGCGCCTGGGTGACGCCGCGCTCCTCGAGGTAGCGCTCCATGAGGATCTGCAGGTCCTCGTCGAGGCTGCCGAAGGGAGCCCCGGGGTAGACGTCGGCCTTCTTCTGGGCGCCCTCGGGCGTGGTGGGCGTCGCGAGGGCGGCGTCCTCGTAGTAGAACATGTTCTCGACAACGATGGAGCCGTCCTGGGCGACGGCGTCGATGTTGAGCGCGCCGGGGGAGCGGCCGGGCTTCTCGACGACGATGGACAGGCGCGTCGGGGGCGCGGCGTCGTCGTCGAGGTCCTCCTCCTCCTCGGCCTCGAGGTCCTCCTCGGCCTGCGCCGAGCGGGCGCCGCCTGTGGCGGGCACGTTGGCCTGCTTGTTGGCGTTCTGGACGTCCGAGGCGTCGATGTCGTCCTCGTCCTCGAGGGCGCGGTCCTGCTCGTACATGTCAGGGTCGTAGTTGGCGAGATCGGCGATGGAGAAGGTGATGGTGATCCTGGCATCGGGTTAGTCTCTTTGCACATGTCGACGGGATGCGTCTGTGACAGCAACGTACTTCTCGTCACCAAAGGTGCGCGTCAGCTTGACGTCCTCCTTGCCCGGGGAGTCGTGCAGCTCAAAGGGGCTGTTGTCAAGGAAGTCCTTGACGCTGGCGGGCAGCTGCTCGTTCTGCTTGACCTCCTCCTCAAACTGGAGCTCGCTCTCGAGCTTTGCCGCGAGCTCCTCATCCGACTCGGCGGCGCGGCGGAAGACGGTTGTGGAAAAGGCGGAGGCGCGTTGTGTGCGGAGCGCGGCGCTCAGGGGCGAGGAAGTCTTGAAGAGGGTGTTGGGGCGGGCGACGGGGGTTTGCCTGGCCAGGCGGCCGAGGGCGCGGGGCGCAGAGCGCGCGGCGGATCTGATGGAGAGCATGTTTGAGGAATGGAAAACGGTGATGACGTGGGAAGGATGATTATAGATGTATTGGTGAAGTGATGGGATGTACAGAGCTAAGGGGCAGAGCTTCGCGATGCAACTCGCTGTCGAACTATGCCGCTGTCAAAATTTCATGTATGATAAGGCCGGCAGAAAGAGAATCCGTCTCCGAATGCTCTTATCGCTGAGTGCTCACCGACCCGGAAGGTGTAGCTTCACCGAACCCCACTCTGTTTTCAGGATGGTGACCAGTCTGTCTTCGACCTGCTCCTGGTATTTGATTCCATCTACTTCATTATCCTTTCCAGCCAGCGATGTGCATTTTGTACTACCAAGGGTAGCACCGCTGAAGATGAAATGCTCAAGGGGTCTTGAGGAATCTTCCCTTTTGTTATCCCTTACTTTCACCTCGTCACTGGTACGATGATTCAAAATGGGCAAACCCGATTTAGGAGCAAGCCTTTCTGTCACTTTACTACCACTTTACCCCCAGTTGTCTTCCGAATTCTGCGAGAGGCTGATATAGCCATGTGATGGCCTCGATCACTCAATTGGCCAATGCCTCGTACAAAGATTCGCAGTTCCTCTGCAGGTACGAAATACGAGGAGAACCTGCAAGTCCTCACAGGTCTGGCGCCCTTTCAGGCATGACACCTCTTTCGACAAGCTGTTAGGCTCTTGCTTCGGACGATCTCTTCTTTAGCCGCGGAGCCTTGGTCAGGGTTCCTCGTTCATGAATGAGGGGTCATCGTTGACCAGCAAGCATCTGACAATGATGATGTGCGGAGTTCATCGGCTTTGGAGTCTTCCAATTCGACCGCTTTTGGGGGACGAGGACCTCACCTTACCTTACCTAGTATCCGGAGTAAAATACATGTACTAGGGCGGAACAACCTTACACTGCGACATACCGAGGAACTCCGTAGGTTTCGGACTATTGCAAAGCTCTAGTGTTCACCTGGCATTCAAGTCAATGATTCGTCTCCCATTGACATCCTGACCTCCCCAAGGCAGCAACGTTACGGACGCCCAAATCCGTCGACGAGTTCGCCAGACCAGGACGCAGCGTGAGGCATAGACCTTCGTGAGTTGCTTTCCGAAGCCCGCCCAGCATCTGGATTGTGCCGATCGCACTGGCAAGGGTGAAGTGCAATTGGCGGGAACTGCGGCTCAGAATCTCCAGTTCTGTTGTGCGAGCTTATTGTCGGCTTCGAGTATAAAACAGAGCTTGCTGCAACGCTCTTCTCAAACAGTCCGTGGCAACCCCTGGATGAAAGGTGAGAGGTGATAAGACCCCAGTCCCTTGACAAAGTTGCAAAATGCGCTTCCAATTCATTGGCCTCGTGGTCCTAACGACACTCAGAGCCACAATGGCTGCTGAAAACACTACATTCTACAATCCAGTTTTTCCTGGCTGGCACACGGATCCTACCTGTACATTCGTCCCAGAACTCGACAATACACACTTCTGCGCTTTTTCGTCGTTTCTGACATTCCCCGGCATTCCAATTTATGCAAGCAAGGACCTAATCAACTGGAAGCTTGTCAGCCATGCTTTGATTCGCGAAACACAGTTGCCCGAGCTTCTTACCGACGGCTCGATCCAACATCAGGGCATCTGGGCCCCGACTTTGCGCTACCATGAAGGTCGACTCTACATCATTTCACCCTACATTCTGTTCAACACCTGGTTCCAGCAGATATTCGTCGTCTCGACAGCCGACCCCTTTGATACTGATTCATGGACCGACCCGATCTGGATGGACAACCCTACCAACTCCATCGACCCTGATTTCTTCATGGACAAAGGAACGTTGTACGTGTCCATGTCGGCGGGCGATAGGATTGTTCAATCGAGGTTTAACATGGCCACTGGCGAGACGAGCGAGCCTATTCGCCTCTGGAGCGGTACCGGCGGTCGTAACCCAGAAGGGCCACACATCTACAAGAAGGATGGATGGTACTACCTACTCGTCTCGGAGGGTGGTACTGAGACTAACCACACCGTCACAATTGCCCGCGGAAAAGACCCTGAGGGACCGTTCGAGGGCTATGAAAACAATCCCGTCTTGACCAACAAGAACACAGACGAATACATTCAATGCGTTGGGCATGCCGACTTCTTTCAAGATTTCGAAGGAAACTGGTGGGGTGTGGCTTTGGCCTGCCGTTCGGGTCCCGAGTGGCAGATTTACCCCATGGGTCGAGAGTCTCATTTGTATCCGATGACATGGGATGAAGGCGAATGGCCAGTCCTCGCACCGGTCCGCGGTCGCATGTCGGGGCCGCTACCACCGAAGAACCTCGATGTAGCTGGAGAAGGGCCCTGGTTGTCGGACGGCGACGAGTATGACTTTGCGCCCGGGTCTTCCATTCCGAAGAACCTCATCCACTGGCGGATTCAGCAAAACAGAACCGAGAGGTTCACTGTTTCTCCCGAAGGTCATGCCAACATGCTACGACTCACGCCAACAAAGTACTCCCTTGACTCCGCTGTACCTCCCGAACTCATCGGTGACCCCAACGCCGGGATTCACCCCCTGACTTTCATCGCGCGAAAGCAGTCTCATACCATCTTCAACTTTAGTGTTGACCTAAACTTTCACCCTGGTGAAGAGAACGAAGAGGCGGGCGTTACGCTCTTTCTGACGCAGTTCCAGCATGTTGAACTGGGATACGTCCGCCTCAAAGCACCCGATGGTCGTCTTGCCATGTATCTCCGTTTCAAGCATGAACTTTCCGGCAAAGAGGGATATGAAGGAGAACCACTCGCCTCGGAGCCCGAGCCGGCACTTCACAAGGTACCGTGCGCCTGGCTGGGACATCCGGTCAGGCTGCAGATTTCAGCAGTCAACGAGACGCACTACGTTTTCAACGCTGCATCTGTGGGGTCGGACGGCAAGGAGAGCGATAAGGTCGTTCTCGGTATTGTCAGCGCGTGGTTCATGAGTGGTGGTTCGGGGCAGTTCATGGGTACGTCATGTCTCACGCAACAGACTCTTGTACTGATCAAGTATGCTAGGAACCCTAGTGGGAGCGTATGCCACGAGCAACGGGGGCGACAATCTGACGCCGGCGTACGTGAGTCGATGGCGGTACGAGCCAATTGCTCAACGCATTTCCGACGACGAGTTTGTGCCTGCCGATGAGCATCCGGTGCCTGGGAGGGCGTGAGACATGGCTGCCAGGACTTCCGCGGATATTGGTGTGGAGAGCGCAGGAGAGATCTTTCAGATCCAGATTGCATTCTGTGAAATATTGCGAGCTAATGTGGGGCAGGGTTCTACGAGAAAAAAGGAGGCCGCTGTTCATATGACATTTGAAACTATTGACAATCTGGAAAAGCTCTTTACCTGTCCTCTTCAGCCTCGGCAAACCAGTATGCCTCCAGCTCAGCAATGCACGTCCGCGCAGGAATCGTCACCGCGATAGGGAAACCGCCATAGTCAGGGTCGTCATTCGGCATCATGAGGAATTCTCCGCTCCTTGTCTCATCACCATTGAACACCCTCAGTGTCCTCAGCTCGCCCGTCTCTGTGACCTCCTTCTCCTCGGCATGCAGGATGCCGGTGAACGTCGCCTCGGGCCTCACGCTCTTGAAGTAGACGTGGAAGCCCCGTCCGACGGCGAGGAACTTGCCGTTGCCCTTGTGAATGACCATGCCGGCGCCGGAGCTCTGCTTGCCAAAGACAAAGCACCACTCTACGATGACCTCAAAGTCGCCAATGACCTTGGTCCACCGCTCCGTGCTGCCGGGCGACGGCTCTTCGTCGAAAAAAAAGCCGAAGCGGTCGGCCGGCCCCGCGGCGAGGAGGTGCTCCTGCGTCTGCGCCAGCAGCTTGTACTTGCGGCCGAACCCCTCGGCGCCCGTGTCGATGCCGAATGGGCCGGTGCCGAGGGCGCCGTAGGTCGCGCAAACGCGAGCCAGGACCTGCGCGCGCCGTTGGCGTCGCGGCGCTGCTCGGGGATGAAAAGCGGGTTGCCCTGCTGTGTGTAGTCCTTGCACACGGACTCGTAGTGGTGGAAGTAAAGGTCCGGCACCAGAAAGTCGAGCGCTGGGGTGTTGTGGCGCCAGATGTCGAGGACGTGGGGGCAAGGCCCGCCGGACGGGTAGTCTCCCGGCGCTGCGCCTCCACCGACGACGAGGGGGAAGTCCCGCGTGTCCAGCTCAGAGGAATCGTCGAAGTTGAGCCAGCAGTTTGTGTGGAAAGGGATGTTGTAGTGCTGCTTGCCGGCGGCGGCGACGCGACCGACGTAGGTGATGTCGGCGAAACAGGACGCAATGGTTGACCATGTCGATCCTGACGTTCCCGAGGAGGAACTCACTCCGAAGGATAACCAGTTGCCGTGGTACAAGCAGACGGAACTTCGGAAGCTGTATTTCATGATGCCGTTTCTCTTTCTCGCATCCTCAACCCTCGGTTTCGACGGCAGTCTGCTGAACGGGCTTCAAACCATGGACACATGGCAGGCTTGTGAGTCCGTCCTCGCCATTCGTCGGGTTGCCCTTGACACGCTTGGCTAACAAAGCTTTCTGCGAATCAGACATTGATCATCCCACTGGTTCTCGCCTAGGACTTTACAGTGCTGTCCCCGGTCTCGGTGGCCTGGCTGTTCTGCCCATAGCGCCCTATCTTGCAGATATCCTCGGACGCAAGATTGGAACCGCCGTTGGCTGCTCAATGATTGTCGCCAGCACATTGATGCAGGCCTTGACACGATCGCATCCCCACAGCAGCCGCGATGCGCTCTTACTGATCGGTCGTATCCTAATGGGTGCTGGAAGGTAAAACAAATTCAAACACTTTTCAAAGAGTGATTGTCTGACATGGAAATAGCAACGTTGCGAATGTCACCGCTCCTCTCCTCATCACTGAAGTTTCGCATCCGAGGCAAAGAAGGGGGAGGAACTGACAATACTCAACTTAGGCCATCATCGCAGCATGGACCTGCTTCGGGACCCTCAACAATCTGTCTGGCGATCTGCAGTGGCGTCTTCCTATGGGCCTTCAGTGCCTCATGCCTGGCATTCTGCTCATCGTAATCTGGTTCATCCCCGAGAGCCCTCGATGGCTAATTAGCAAGGAAAGACACGAGGACGCGCGCAAGGTGCTTGTCAAGTACCACGGAAACGGCGACGAAAACGATGCTTTTGTGCGCTGGGAACTGGCTGACATCTCCAACACTCTTCAGCTCGAGCGTAGCGCCGCGGCCAATAACGGGTGGAAGGAGCTGGTGCGCACCAAGGGCAACCGCAAGCGATGCTATCTCATCCTTGCCACAGCTTTCTTCTCGCAGTGCAGCGGCAACGGTTTGGTTTCGTACTATGTAAGACATCTCTCGTGGCTGTCGCAGTATTCAGAGGACTGACTATGCGGCGCTCAGCTTTCTGTGATTCTCAACAGCATTGGTATCGAAGAGTAAGCATTTCATTATTTTAAAAGCCCCCCCCTGAAAAGGTTGAGCTGACCAGGTCAAGTGCCATCACCCAGTCCTATATCAACGGCGGCTTGACCATTTGGTGCTGGCTTGTCTCCCTTTTCGCCGCCTGCTTCGTTGACCGCCTCGGCCGCCGCTCCCTCTTTCTTTTTGCCGGCATCGGCATGCTCCTTTCCTTCTCCGTCTGGACTGCCTGCAGCGCGGTATACGAGCAGACGGGCTCGAAGCCTGCCGGCACCGCCGTCGTCGCCATGATCTTTGTCTTCTATGGCGTTGCCGGTGCTGCTTGGCCCGGCCTGACCGTCAGCTACACCGTCGAAATTCTGCCTTATAACATCCGGGCCAAGGGTCTCATGCTCTGCTTCTTCGGCACCTCGGTCGCAGGCGTGTTCAACCAATGGGTCAACCCACTTGGTCTCGAGGCTCTAGCGTGGAAGTTTTACTGTGTGTACATTGCTGTGTAGGTCCCATTGTGCCGCAACTCTCTTTTTGAGCTATTGACTAAAGCGAACAGCTTGGTCATTGAGGTTCTCGTCATTTACTTCTTCTTCGTGGAAACTAAGGGACCTACCCTCGAGGAGATGGCCATTCTTTTCGATGGCCCAGAGTCTGCGGCTGCCTATGGTCGGGCAGAGGCGCATGCGAAGCTGCAGGTCACGCAACAGGAGCAGAAGGACGAGAAGGCTGGATTGCAAATTTGCGCCATGTGTTGTGCAAGCCCGGCTAAAAATGCAGCATGGGAAGAGAATGGTGTTCACTAGCACCCATCGTTCCGGAGATTACAGCGATTTAATCAGGATTAAGCGTTCAGGAATCCAGGTCTTGCTGCAATTCGTACACTGCCATCGGAAAGCTATCGCGAAATGAGGGGCAAAGTTCAGACCCTTTCCTAGAACCTACAGAAGGCCAGTGCCTTCATGATAGGTGTTCCGGAACCACAGATATCAGTTTGCGAAGCGCCCTCACAGGAGACAGTCGGCAGTCCGTCACAGCTCAGCTGACCAGGGCTGTCAGGTGAGCCAGAGTACTCACACGTGCGCCCTTCAGCCTGGAAAGGCCCCATTTTCGTCGGCAGCTTCGCTGAAGCAAGGACGCCGGGGGCACTCTGTGAGGCTATCGCCGATGCGCTGCACTGCTTGATTTGCCCTCCGAACGGAACAGAGAAGGCTCTGTGCTCTCGAGTCCAGAAAGTACCGCCCACAGTAAACTGACCGAATTCATAATAGCTGATGACCACAACGCCGTGGTTGCGCTCCGGTGGTGGTGGTGGCGATGGTGGGTTGGGCGTTGGCTCAGGGGCAGACGGAACAGTCCATTTCCCGCAGCCGCTCGTAGTAACAGTCGCCTCGCCCTTTGGACCGCCTGTGATGACCCACGTCGCAGTCGAGACACAAATGCCGCCAGGAGGGCTCGTAACAGATGGAGGCAGCGTGGGGAACGGTCCCAATGTGCCGAAGCTGGCGCAGGATGTACTGGTCACGCAGACTGCCTGACCAGGCCTTCCATTACACTGCGTGACAGTTGCCGAGGAGAGACAGACGGTACCAGGGCCCGGTGTGACACCCGGCTCACTGGGCGGTAGTGTAGGGAGGTTGGGTAGGGTGACTGGCGGAGGCGGAACCCATCCAGGGCCGGTAGCTCCTGGATTGGATGGAGGCGTGAACTCGGGTGGTGTACCTGTCGGCTGCGGTACACAGAAGAAGCCCTCGCAAAGCCTACCACAGTTTGCGGTACACAAGGGACCGGGAGGACCAGGTTTGTAGGTGAGCGATGGAACGGGAACCCCCTCTGGGTTGCCCGGCTGTCCTGGAAGGGGGCACGACTCAACCTGCCGTATGGATAGCCGGCGCTCTGAGACGGCGCCGGCATTCGAATTCGGTAGGCAAGACTGGTCCCTTCTCTGTCCATTGTAGACAACGACAGGCTTGTCGGCATTGGTAACACCTTGGTAAGAAATAGCGCGGGCCAATGACTTCATCTGTTGCTTGAGCTGTGCCGGCTTGACAAAGTTACTGAATGTTGGATCTGAGCGCAAGCTCGCAACAAGTCCGGAGACAAGGCCAGCAGCTGAGGGTAGGTTGACTTGATTAGTGACGAAGGGCAACGAAAAAATCTTGCAGGTTTTCGAAGGAGTGATAGAATATGTCGCACTTACCAGGTGATCCGCCATTGATTTGACGCTGGTTACTGACGCCCAAAGGATACGGGAGCCGCTCACCAGGAGCCCAAAACTCGACGTTCGTTCCTACCATGCTCAACTTTCGCCGGTACCCTTCTCTGTTAGAAGCACCGACAACCATCATGCCAGGAACATAGGGCATGGCTTCGTATGGCATGGAGTTTGCATCAATAAAGACCCCCGGGTCTACTAAAGGTCCATCAGCAGGATCCGGTTCCGCATTGCCAGATGCAGCAACAAAAACGGTCCCGTATTTTGCCTCCATGAGTACCATTAATTGACCTGTTATACATGTCAGAAACGTCCGACTTCTCTTACTTTCGCTGGTTAGGTCAAAGACTTACGCATGATGGTCCACAAGTGCGGCTCCGCGTATCTCATAGGGATACCGAAGGACATATTGACGATTGTCGTGTCTTGTGGCTTCTTTTCCTTGACAATATCTTGTGAGATTGCAACAAGGGATGCAAGGAAAATTTCGACCGGCCAATCCTCTTCCACTTCCAGTTTTGTTGGCACCACCACCAAACTTGCCTGTCTTGCAATTCCCGATGCTACACCCCCAACCATGGCGGATACGACGGTCCCGTGTCGCCGCATTTCCGTCACATCGTTAGGATCGTCGTCGTACCACATTGAGCTGAGATAGCTATGTGGTGAAAGGGGTGCTTTAAGCTGTCCTGTGAATTCCTTTCAGGATAATGTTAGCTTGCCGACGTCCGGAGCCAGATCCCAGCACTTGACTTACTCCGCTCTGACCCGTACGTTCCTCCATAATGTAGACCGTCTGTCCAGATCCCTCCCTATTGTTGAAATAATAAGCGAACTTATTCTGGGAGGGAATATGGGGGTCGTCGTCCACATTCCAGTCTACTCGTTCGGGGATAGAAATATGAGACAGATGCCACCTGTCACTGATCTCTGGACTGGTTGCCCGCTTGGCGATATCGGATGTCTCATTTTTCAACAACTCGGCAGCTTCGTTCAACTTCTCAACTCCATCACTTGCTGGTGTTTCATATCGTACTGGTGTGTCTGGATGGCCATTGCTCGCTTTAGCAGACCTCTTTGCTCTGCTGCGCCTAAGCTGAGCTTCGGATAACCTGGGCGCAATATCTGCGCGATAGTTGTAAGCTCTCTTGATCTACATACAATAGTGTTAGTCTCTTCATTTCGTATCTCAACGATAGTGAACCGGGATCACCGTGCACCAACCTCTTTGACTTCGTCCGAATCGAAATATGCTTGCGCGACTGGACCCATGTTATCCACGTAATAAAATGCGGTGTAGTCGAGATCTCCTGCACGGACTTCCGTCCAGCCGTGGGTGGCCCCAAGAGCATCCTTTCTTTCCTGAAGCAAAGCGCGAATGCGTGTTTGCCCTCCTTCCTTCGGGTCTTGTGGCCAAATAATGCCATCTTCGCCGGTTTCCTCGCAGTCCCAGATACTGTTTGCCCTCTTTGCGACGTCAGGTGGAGGCTCGGCTGCGGCAGTCATCTCGGGCAATGGCACGCCAGTGAGATTGATAGTTCGTTTCGCCAGGCTGCAAGCTTTGCCGGTCTCTGTGGAGTCTACGTCACGAAGGTTGCAGCCAGTAATGGTGGCACAAGTCTCTTTGACTTGTGTTGTGGTCGTTCTCGTTACTCCATTCTGCACGGTCGTCCCGAACGAGGTTGTTGTGGCGCAGAGCGATGCCTCTGCTGGAGTGCAACTTGCTGGCTCAGGAGGTGCAGTTACCTTGCCGCCGGGCCCAACACTGTTAAAACGTTGCGTTAGTTCTGATCTGAGGTGGGCTAGAATAGCTTCCAAAAACCATAACCTACGTAATTTTCGGCCAGTTTGGCAGGTTCCCTTTGAACGTAAAACCTGGAGGAGGATTAATGCGTCCAATAGGTGGTGGCCCGCTGTGAAGAGTGACATCGTCAGCACATAGATAGTCGCATGAAACGCTCCTTTTTATGTCACTTACGGTCCCCAGATGCCCTGTGGTAAATTCCATTCCCACCCACCAATCTTAATTCCACCAATGTCAATACAAGTCTATCATGGATCGTTAGCACTCTGGCATTCTGAAGGATGTACTTCCAGCTAGAGAGGAATAGCCTACCCAGAAAAACCATAGGTTGCACGTAGACTTGGACTTTGGACCATCGCCATCATCATCTTCACCTTCGTCAGGAACAGCCGTAGTAACGGGTTGAATATCAAACGATGTGGGCCATGTACCCGTAGGATCGACCGACCCTCCGGGACCCGTGTAAGGAGTCTTCGTGATAATCTCTGGCGGTGGAAGGGGAATCACGTCCGTAGGTACTGGCACGCCTGTAACACCCGGATTCGTCCATGGGTTTCCTGATGTGGTCCAGCTTTCAGGCGGCCCGTTGGTAATTTGTGGCCACGGTGGCAGTAGAAGTGTTCTCGTCTGAACACCGCCTGGTCCGGTGATTGTAGTCACGAATGGCGGAAGGTCGAGACTGATGGTTGGATGGACATTTCCATTCGTCTGGCCCTGTGTGACATCGACATTTGAGAACTGCAGAGAATTTGTGACGATAGGTGGTGGGCGAATGACGATGTTCGATGTGATTCCGGGTGCCACAGAAAGAGAAGTCGAATATGGAGGGATCTGAATTGTCGTCGCTGAAGGCAAAGCGCTGGGGGGCAGAACAAAAACGCATGGAGCTGAACATTGCGCGGGGGTACCTTCGTAAACCTTGGGATCAAGATACACCGTATTCTCATTCTGGTCGTGCCTAGATCAATCATCAGCAAGGAACCATATCTGTGCTTCATGGGGAAGGTGACGAACCCGCCTGACCAGGGACCTGGAAGTCAATACTCCAGACCATTGTACCACCGAAGCACATGCCGTCAGCAAATGCTTGTTTCGCGGCAAATGTTTCTTCGTCATCGTAGCCGATCCACTGGTCGTCCCATGTAATTTGTTTCATCATGGAGTCAGCAAGATACTGTGGAGTAATTCCGCGTTCCTTGATGAGCTGTTTGATCTCGACGAGAGACATGACACCTCCGAAGGCTGTGCAGGGAGCCGGTTTGCTCGGGCCAGAGAAGGGGCAGAGAAGTTGATTGCACTTTGGATCTGCCAGAGTGTAGCCACGACCGTACATGGCAAGGCCGAAATTGATCTTCTTTGGGTCGAGGCCATCGAACCACAGGGGTATGGTGTTATTGGCAATCTCACGAATGTCTGCCTGGCCGCGGACTTTCTTTCCAAGCGCCAAGACATCAGCATCCCATGAGCCATGTAAGTCTGCGAAACGAAAGACACCAGATTAGCGAACGACCCCGTGATTCATGAAAAAATCTGATAGCGCAAGCAGAAGGATTCCTCAGATGGTAGGCGGGTCTTACCGTAAGCCATGAAACCAAAGAAGTCAACACTCGGCTCCATGGCCTTCGCATCGAACCATCGCAGGTACCAGTAGTCAGGTGCAAGAGTCAAACTGATGCCATAGCTGCTTCCGTACGCGGCTCGCATTTCCCGCAGCAACATGGGGAAGTTTCGCACGTCTGCCAGCTTCCGGCCACCTCGCTCAGGAGCACCTGGATATTCCCAATCGAGATCGACGCCCTGGAACCCATACGTATCCATGTACTCCTTGACGGATGCTATGAAAGCGGCCCGGTTGGCCTTCGTAGAGACCATGTCGCTCCTGAATACATGTTAGACCTCCATTTGCCCCTGGCGGACTAGGATCGCGGTGGTAGACCTACCAAGTGGTATGCGTCGCGACTTCAGGATTGCTGAAATCGAAACCGCCAATAGCAATCCAAGTCTGCAGCTTGCCGTCCTGCGAAAGCTTCGTGAACTCCCTCATCATGCTGTCATCATCCGAATGGGCTGGCGTGATTCTAAACGTCTTGGGGTCGATAAATGCAAATGAGTAGAAGAGATGGGTGTAGCCCGTTGTGTCAAGCTGCGATGGCGACACCTTGTTGCACCTCCGATCACGAACGTTCCAAGACTGATAGTATCCGACCTTGCGCTTGGAGGAGCTTCCACTGCCTTGGGCGCAGGAGGGAGAAGGCGTGATTGAGCATGAACCATATCCTGCTTGACATGGCAGAGTATTGTGGACTGGGTCGGCGTTGTGACAGTAGATGTCCCTTGTCTAGACGTGAGATTGATTGTCAGCTCCCCAGAACCAAAGCCAGCCGTGTCTATTCGTATAAATAGCAAAGCAACTCACGCCACACCATCCCATGGCTGAGCAGCACAGCTTCATACCACATGGCATCTCGGCGTTCTCGCTGTACTCTCCACACATGGCTGTGGCATCGCATTGCGATGTACAGTTGCCAGCGCCGCAGTAGGAAGGGCCGTAACCGCAGATTTTCTCCTTGCTGCAACAGCTGTCGACACCTTGTCAGTAATTACGGTCACTACGAGTATTGAGCACAACTTACCTGCCGTCGATGCAAGGTCCATCATCACAGCGAAGAGCTTGGCGCTTCTGGAAAGTGTTCAAGCCCCGTGGGTTGAAGACGGAGACAGCGGGAATTGACGCAGTGGTGGAGTTTTCCAGGGCAGCAATAGGGACAGCTGGAGCCTTCGCAGGGTCTTGATGAGCTGGGTTGAAGACGATCTGATCTCTCCACGATAGATCTGCGGTACTGTCAGCCATCTGTGGACTACACTGAAACCTTCATCAAGGACTCACCGGTGTTGCCTGAGTCACGCTGGGCGATAGTACGACCAGCTCTCGGTTGGTAGGCCACATCGGCAAAGATAAGAGCTGGTAAGCAAAGAAGTATGATCCCAACAACAGCGAATACTGTGAGGCTCGTCGAGGATTGGGACCACATAGCAGCTTGAACCCCGGCAAAAAGCCTGATGAGTGGTGGTGAATACGAACTTGGGATCAATCTGCCCACGATGTCTTATATGAATGCCGTCCAGCTTCGTGGGATTCATACATATAGGGAGAGTGATATGATTCGTGTGTGGGGTGACGGCGCCGTCGTGTGGAGGGATCAGTCGGGCTTGCTCTCCGAGGCCGAGCAAAGGAGTGTCTCCTTTTCCGTGGCTTCATTCCATAAAAAAACCCCATTTCTCATCACTTTGTCATCTGTCGCTTCCAGCCTGCAGGTCGTGGCCAAGAGGACTCAACATCAAGCCATTGCAACCTTAACACGAATCTGCGCACTTAGCCTGAAGACTACGGCTTACGGCACCAGCATGGTGGTTTAAAAGACTTTCCGTAGGAGCCGCATGTGTACGATTTTGACTGAGTCGCTTACGGGGTCTTTCCTGTTTTGTCTGTCGCGTCCGTGTGGCGACAGCGCAAATTGACAGCAAGCAGAATATTCCTGCAGAGGCATGCAGGGTGATCATGATGTGGCGAATAGGAGCTCCCCCATCCCCTGAAATAAGTCCGTTCTTGGTGTCATCTGGAAGCATGCATTTCTTCCCACGCTAGATCCTGAAGGATGCAGTATCAGAACGATGTTACTCGACTTTGGCCTGGAACTTCCAAAACCCCAACTGCACTCAATGTTTGAGGGGAAATTCCCTTTTCAATCACGACAACTTCTCGCGGGCCTCATCAGGTTGTCAAATGCACCTGCATCAAGTCCGATCTCGGTCTTGTTGGCGAGCCGAGAGTCCGGAGGCTGCAGGGAGGCATAACAATAGACCAGCTTGTCTCGCTTGCAGAGATTCGGTCAATGTATAAGAAGGTATTGCGCCATTTCGACACTCACTCAGACAGCTTAATGTATGCCTCATATCGCGGAACTGTACTCTCTTGACGATTACGTTCTTTTACCGGCTTGTCCCCAGATGAAGGCCTTTGTTCTTGTCTGGCTGTTGCCTGTGTTGGCAACATGCCAAAGTACGACATCCCCTGCCCTGCCGCCGTGGCAAACAGGTGTCATCACGGAGGACGGTAGCTGTGGTGGCATCGACAACTGGGTATGTACCCCCACCTGGGGTGCATGCTGCTCAAAGGACGGCATGTGCGGTCGATCCAAAGCCTTTTGCGGCGACGGATGGTAAGTCATGTCACAAGCCTGAAAAAGAACCCTGGAGCTCTGTGTGTGACCTGAGCTGCCAAGCTTGGCGTCCCTTCTGGAGTCAAGTCATTCAGGTCAGCTAATCAAAGTTGCGTAGCCAGCCAACCTTTGGGAACTGTGACGCGCCTCCGCCGCCCCCGGTAAAACCACCCGGACCCGGTGACGCGTCTCCGGATGGTTCTTGCGGAGGCTCAAACCAGTTCACCTGTACCAACTCGACCTTCGGGGCGTGCTGCTCGTCTGGAAACTGGTGCGGCGACTCGTCCGCGCATTGCGGCACCGCCTGCCAGAGCGCCTTTGGCACCTGTGCGGGCGAGAGCAACATTTCTTCCGACGGCAAGTGCGGACCCAATGGAAAGATCTGCCTCGGTTCAGGCTTCGGTGATTGTTGTTCGTCCAGCGGCTGGTGCGGCGGTGCGGCGGAACACTGTGGCACCGGCTGCCAGACGGCTTTCGGCAACTGCACGGCCGGGAGCGGCAGTGGTGGCGGCGATTCTGGTGGCAATCCCGGCACCATCTCGACGGACGGTACCTGCGCCGGCACGAAGGGTCTGCTCTGCAAGGGCTCCATTTACGGAGACTGCTGCTCGTCTAGCGGCTACTGCGGTAGTTCAGCTGCCCACTGTGGACCAGGTTGTCAGTCGAACTTCGGAAATTGCACGACCTCGGGGGACGTTTCGACAGACGGCTCCTGCGGTAAGAACGGGAAGACTTGTAAGGGATCGAGCTTTGGGGACTGCTGCTCCTCAAGCGGGTTCTGCGGAGGCACGACTGCGCACTGCGGAGCTGGGTGCCAGTCCGGATTCGGCATTTGTGCTGCAGCAGACAACATTTCTACGGACGGCACCTGCGGAAGCAACGGGAAGACGTGCAAGGGGTCTGCCTTTGGCGACTGCTGCTCGGCCAGCGGCTTTTGTGGAGCGTCGACGGACCACTGCGGCGCGGGCTGTCAAACAAATGCGGGCACTTGTTCTGGTGCTGCCAATAACAACATCTCGACGGACGGCAGCTGCGGCAAGAACGGCAAGGTCTGCAAGGGCTCGACCTTTGGCGACTGCTGCTCCTCTGGCGGGTTCTGCGGCGCGTCTACGGACCATTGTGGTACCGGCTGTCAAGCCTCCTTTGGCACATGCACAACGGCTGGTTCGGACAACATCTCCACTGATGGATCCTGCGGGAAGAACGGCAAGACCTGTAAAGGGTCCACGTTCGGTGACTGCTGCTCGTCGGGCGGTTTCTGTGGCAAGTCAACGGATCACTGCGGGCCAGGCTGCCAGACTCTATTCGGCACGTGTACGGCCGGGGCTGGTAGCATCTCGACCGATGGTGCGTGTGGGAAGAATGGAAAGACGTGCAAGGGCTCGACTTTTGGAGATTGCTGCTCGTCTTCCGGGTTCTGTGGCAAGTCGACAGATCACTGTGGTGCCGGTTGTCAATCATCGTTCGGCACCTGCACGACCGGTGCCGGCTCCGTGTCTACGGATGGAAGCTGCGGCAAGAACGGCAAGACGTGTAAGGGATCGACATTTGGAGACTGCTGTTCGGCGAACGGTTTCTGCGGAAAGTCTTCAGACCATTGCGGCACGGGCTGCCAGGGGTCTTTTGGAACGTGCAACGGCGCGGCCGACAGTCTCTCCAAGGACGGCGCCTGTGGTTCGAGGAACGGCAAGACGTGCGTCGGGGCCGGGTTTGGGACGTGCTGCTCCAGCACTGGATATTGCGGAAGCACTGGAAGCCACTGCGGCCAGGGCTGGTATGTTTCGAACTCTCTCCTGTGATATCGAAGTCGCTTGAAGGTCTCACTGACATCTCCAAAATAGTCAAACCGGGTCCTCGAGTGGATGCTTCACGAGAAACATCCCCACCAATGACGGCACATGCGGTGCTAGCAAAGGCAGCTTCACATGTGCTGGTGGTCCTTTCGATAACCAATGCTGCAGTTCCGGTGGCTTCTGCGGGACAACGAGCGATCACTGCGGATCTGGCTGGTGAGTCTATGACGGTCTGATCTCACGCGTTAGCTTATCGGCTAACCCCCCTCTCAGTCAGCGGAATTTTGGAAGATGTAATTGATCAAGGAGAAGGTGGGAGGAAGCAGTATGGCAAAAGCCAGGTGGTAGCTGGGATGCATTCAGATAAATTACGAAGCCGAGACTCGCAGCCATAAACATGGGTGTTGCGCAAAGCAGACCCTGAGGCTCGCTTGATCCAAGAGGGTGGGCCCTGGAAACAGCAGCCGCCGCCGGGCTCAAGTCGACAATGATCCAACGGAACTCCGGGGTAGAGGCAAGCATATTTACCTTCATTGAATTCGTAGCCATCACGTCCGAATACTCCTTGTCAATTTCGTTGAAGAGGGTAAAGCAGTGGACCAAGGTTCGATTCACGGGCCGAACGGCAGACTCCTGGATGGCCTTTTGGGGTTCAATGGAGAGACGACAGAAAGGGTGAAACGTATTAATCGCCATATCGAGAGGGTGAGAAGGTATGGTATCCAAGGCTGATGATCTGTTTAAGGAAGCGGCGTGGATGCTTATGGACGCCAATCATGTATTGTTACGGTCTGTGAGTTGGTGTCGACTCTGAAAAGGCTCGCCATATGATAGGGAAGTACGTCGTGGTATGAGCCGTCTGCCATGATCCCGGAAGTCTGAGCGGAACGGCATCAATTGAAGGAACCAACCCCGAAGGCAACATGTAAAGGAAGCTCCATTGTGCAGTCCGATGGACAAGGGCTCCCAGAAGACAGTTCGTCAATCGCGGCAGTTGACATTAGTCTTGAGCTCCCGTTGTTGTTAGGGTCGGTGTCAGCATGGTAACATTAGAGACAGGACAGGGGAAACAAGGGATAATGCGCAGTTTCCTTCTTCAGCGGCAGAAGGAAACAATCCCCATGTCGGTTGGGGAACCCTGACACATTCCAAGTCTCAGTGACTCTTGTCTCAAGGGCCCTTGTCTCGGTAGACATCGTGACACTCAGGACTTCCAAAAGCCTCATGGACCCCATGTACAAACAACATGACCGCATTCCCTAACGCTGGCAGCATTGACGAAGGGACGAAGCAAAGGCGCGCGCTCCTGCATTGTAGATATGGAAGCCAGACGCGCAACACGGCGGCATGGGGTCGCGGGCTTTTCAATGGCGTGAAATTGTGCAGGCATTCGATCCTCCTGCTTTCGGGACGGGACAGGTAGCAGCAGGCAGCAGCCCATCAGAAGGAGAACCCTGGTGACGAGACCCCCTTTTCGGTTTTAGTGGTGCCCGAATTGCCTCATGCTCGGGTAGGTGGTGAGTTGTTTAGCCAAATTGATGCGTACCATGTAGGCGGGTCTAGCGCAGGAGGACCCGGCACTTCAGTTTCGCAGCCAATCTTGCGGCTGCCAGCATCGAACGCCGTCTCTTTATTTTCTGCATGTGCTGAAATGGACGACTGGGAAATAGAACAAAATCAGCAAGATAAAATAACATAACAGGGGTGGGGGTCACTTAGACACGGACAGGTGGTGCCAACGAAACC